TCCCTCCATGGCCATGAGAAAGTGTCTTTGGGGGGTTGTTCAGCAGGATTAATCCCTCCATGGCCATGAGAAAGTGTCTTTGGGGGGTTGTTCAGCAGGATTAATCCCTCCATGGACACGAGGAAGTGTCTTTGCAGTACCATTTTTTCCCTCCTTTCCGACTTGTGTTTTCTTGGGAATGAAGTCTCAAAGCTGGGAATGTTTTTGTGTGGAGTGTTCTCCACAGGATCTTTCTCCTTTTTTTCCCCTCTGATGTTTCTCTCAGTTCAGGACCTGGGCAGTGTTGTCTGGCTGTGCCTTGTCTGTGTTGGTGTTTCTGTTCAGCGGGAGTGTTTAGGTTGGAGATGAGAACAGCCAAGCACAGTAATAAATCTGAAAGTGAACTCTCTGCAGCCTGATATGGAAAGGAAAGGAAAATAAATGTGTCACCTGTTTGAAATCTATGCCTTACAGAGGAACTCAGCTGCCTTTTAGTACTTTATGGAGGTGTATCTTCTGAACCTGAGTGGTTCTAAACACATTTAGCTGCCTCAGGTCTCTCTCCTTGCACAGTGTGTAACTCAAAGGTTGGAAAATCAGAGGAGTGTTTGCCATTTTTGGAACTGCTGCAGCTACTGGTGCCAAGTGCTGTGGAAGATGTATAATAAACCAAAGCTCAAAAATGAGCTTCACTTTATGCTCAGTTTAATTTGCTGATGTCCTGGAGCTTTCTGCAGCCTGAGTTCTCTTAGGTTTACAGGCTGCTCTGTGTGATGAGGATCTGAAATTCTGAGCCCATCCTGACTTTTGCACTCTTAGAACTGCTCTGGTGTGTTACTGAATTGTGAAGGTGCTTTTTTTTGGTGCCTTGTGAAGCTGAGAAAGTTGTAATATTTTTCCTGAGGGTCTTTATTTGGAGCAGCAGTTTCAAAATCAAACAATAGCAGCCATGAAATCCTCCTGTGACGTCGATTCCAAAAGAAAAATAGTATTTCTAGAAGATGCTTTGCTTTCAGCACTTTGGGTTATGGCAGAATAAAGTGCAGAGAGTCCCACAGATTATTTTTGAGTGCCTGCAGTCTTAATGGAGGAAAAATCTACAACCACTTGGCTTTTACCAGAGGTGTTTGTGGTAAAATACCTCGTGTGGGGAAAATAAAACACAAACATCAGTCAGCAGAAAATGAAGATGTTTTATCTGAAGGTTTCCTCTCAGCAGCTGGAGAAAATCTCACTGGTGTTTCATAATTTAGGCAGTAAAACCCCAGTACATCAAACTGGGACTATGAAAACAGGGAACCTGATGCCATGAAATCAAACCAGAATCCCTCTGATTTTATCAGATGCCTGTCAGTGCTCTGAAAAAAAACTGTGTTACTTGATTGAGTCTGGGGGAAACTGTGAGTGTGAAAGCATCTCTTGTCAGCTGAAAAATGAGTGTCCTGTGGCAGACAGGGAAAAGGTCCTGGCAATCCCACGAGTTTTCCACCCTCAGCTGGGATATTCCTGGGAACAAACACACTTGGAGCCGTGGAAGGGGCTGGGAAGAACAAGGACTGCTGAAGTAGAGCAGGATTTTCTCCCTTAACCTAAAAATCTGGGAAGAACAGCGTGACCTGCCCTAAGGAGGCTGTTGGCCTCTTTTTTTTTTTTGGTTTGATGGTTTTACTGCTCCTTTTGTGGTCTGAACTGTAAAATAAATCCAGAGGGAAGGAGCACTTTTTGCTTCCCGTGTTTTATTGGATCTGAGTGGTTTGTAATGCTCATTTTTCCGTGAAGAAACGCTGGGGGGGGGGATGTCAGGGGGTGGTCTTTCCTAAAAAGGTACCTTTGGAGGTTCAGGAATATTTGTGTTCATGTTTATTTTGGCAGCAGCAAATTAGCTGTTGGGGTTTTTTATTATTATTATTTGATTGGGGTTTTGTGTAAAGCTTGGCATGGGAAAGCTTCTGTATGAGACAGGAGTGAAGAGGCTGAATCTCTGCTCCCTGAAAAAGGTGGATCTGGCTGTAAAGTCACGAGTGGAGTGTCAGGAGGCAATAAACAGGGAATAATGACCTCCCACAAGTGACAAAGAATATTTGGAGAGCTGTTGCACACAGAGATGCTCCAGCTGGGAGCCCCACACTCCTGGGAGCCTCAGACAATTTTCTGCATCAGTAGAGCTTTCAGATGGACTTTTTTCCATACTTATCCCTACCTGGATACAGGACAGGAGACAGGGCAGTAGGTCAGCCAGACATCTGGCTGCCTGTACAGTATTTTGAGTCTCCAGGTTGTGGGTTTGTTCTGTTTTGGCCAGACAGAGCTGTGGCTGAGAGCCCCACGGTGTGTCCGTGCCCTATAACACGAGAGCTTTCAGAAGTGGAGGGGAGAATGACGGAAATTTCTGCTGTCTCGTGTTGGTTTTGGTGTGGAAAGGAGTATTTTAGGGGCTGAACATGAAGAGTCTGGCAGAGAGGGAGTAACTGGAGCAGAAAGACTCACCCTGCCTCGCTGCAGGAGCGTCAAGAGATGTGACTGGGAGAGAGGGCAGGAGGCAGCTGCAGCACGTGCAGACATTCCTTGGAATCTTAACACCACCCTCTCATGGTCCTTTTATGCTTAAATATTGGCTTTTGCACTGCTGAGAGGGAAATGTGGGGACAGCAGTGTGGGGTGAGCCTTTGGGAGCTCTGGGAATCCTGCAGTGTGGCTGCAGGGAGTCGGCTGGTGGCTTCTTTGTCACAGGTCACAGGAGGGCAGGGAGGGGTGGCAAACCCAGCAGCTGTGGGGGTCCTGAGGGCCTGGAAGAACTCCTGTCTCCCCCAGGAGGCCTGGGGGTGGGAATTCTTGGTGCTGTGGTGACCCAGGGGAGGACCCCAGAGCCAGACTCCATGTCCTCAAATCCCAGAATCCCATTAGGGTTTGGGGTGGGAAGGACCTTAAAGACTGTCTAATTCCAGATCTAGGTCGAGGTCTCACTGCCCTCTGCACCAGTGATGTGCAAGAATTAAACCCACTTTTATTATTTTTATTTAATCTATTAATGAATTTATTCAATTAAAATTTTATTTCGCTTATTTAATATTTATTATATTACATTAAAACACTTTTTTATTTACACAGGACTGATTCTTTTTTTTCTCCCCCTTATGACTTTTGAACAGCAAAAAGGTTAAAATCCAGCTGCTGTTTGTTGGTGGAGGGGAGGGTTTGCCTTTAAAAAATACAAATGTAAATAAAATACTGGAGTTGTTTCATAGCAAAGGCTCTTCCAGCCTTTGACCTTTCTCCAGAGAAATTTTGGACTTTGGAAATGCAATAATAACCCTTTGTGAGTAATCCAGGACTCTAAAATGGTTAAATCTTAGAGGGGAAAAAAAAGGGAGCTAACACACAATCACACTCCCCAAGTGCCTAAAAATTCTGAAACCCTTGAAATCTGTGAATGGGCTTTTCCCTGTTCAGTGTCTCAGAGCTGCTGTGAGGAGGCAGCTGTGCCAAACAGCTGGAATATCCAGAGGGCTTTGACCCAAAAATTACAACAATGAGACTCCTGGAAGCTCGAGCTAAAGCACCTCCCAGCCTTGTCACCTTTGGCAGGAGGTGGATTTTTGGAAGGGGGGAGTGGAGGGGTGACAGGTGACTGTGTTAATAACACTGCAATATTATTAATAATAATTAATAATACCAGAGTATTCCAGCCCAGGCTGGAACCTTGTCCTGCAGGGCTGTGAGATCTTTCTGCAAACCCTTGAATTTTCCTGTCGTGGTAGGAAATTGTCTCTTAGTCCATAACACCCAATTTAAACTCGGAATTCTTTTCATCTGCAAGGTGTATTCTGACAAATCCTACTTGGAATTAAAGAGCTTTTTTTTTTTTCTCCCCTGTGTCCTTTGAATCCTTTAAAGGCTCTATGTGTCCCCAAGGAAATCTGCAGAGGAGAAAACATCTTCCCCCTTGAAATGGTGCCGGCAGGTGCTGGATAACCCCAGTCCTGAGATCGAGGCAGCCTGCAGGACCCTCATCAACAGGCTGGACCAAGGTAACCCCAACCTGGCTTGCTTTGCAATGGGGTCACAATCAGAGCTGTCAAAGGGATCCCCCCCGGGCTTTCAGGCTCTGGGAGTTTTAAGTTTTTGAATATTGAAACATTCTGAAGGGGAAAAAAAAAAAAAAAAACAAACAAAAAATGGGTAAAGGAAAAATAAGGCTTCGGGGGAGAGGGGGAGGGAGTGTCAGGAAATTGGGATTGCAGCTTTTTTCCTTAGGAGAAGTCCTAATGTTGTTGGGTGTTTCCCTTTTCTCCCCCCATTTTCCCCCCCCCCTTTTCCCCCTTTTTCTTT